TTGCATAACAAAGGAAACCACCAACAAAATAAAAAGGCAACCTACAAAATTGGAGAAAATATTTGCAAATAAAATATCTGATAAGGGGTTAATATCCAAAAATATAAGGAACTCAACAGCAAAAAAGCAAATAATCAAATTAAAAAATGGGCAGAGGACCTGAATAGACATTTTTTCAAAGAGGATATACAAAAGGCCAACAGGTACATAAAAAGATGTTCAGCATCACTATTCACCAGGGAAATGCAAATCAAAACCATAAGGATACATCACCTCAGGCCTGGTAAAATTGCTATTATCCAAAAGAAAGAAATGACAAATGTTGGCGAGGATGTGGAGAAAAGGGAGCCCTTGTGCACTGTTTGGTAAAAATGAAAATCAGTAAAGCCACTATAGAAAATAGTAAGGAGAGTCCTTAAAAAATTAAAAATTTTTTACCATAAGGTAGTGGTACTACCTTATGACCCAGCAGTACCACTTTTGATATTTATCTGAAATGAAACCACTATCCCAAAGAACTATCTGTAACCCATATTCATTGCAGCATTATTCACAATTGTCAGGACATGGAAACAACCTAAGTGTCAAAATGTGGCATATATAGTGAGGATATTATTCAGGCATCAAAATACAGGAAATCTTGTCATTTGCAACAACATGAATGGACTTTGAAGAAATTATGTGAATGTACTGTGAGGGCATTATGGGTGAAAGAAGTCAGAGAAAGAGAACTATGTTCTTGCTTTATTATTTTTGTTAACAAGATCCCTTTATTTTCATTTATTTATTTTTTAATCCTCACCCGAGTATATTTTCCCATTGATTTTGAGAGAGTGGAAGAGAGAAGGAAAGACAGAGAGAAATATCAATGTGAGAGAAACACATCTATTGGTTGCTTCCTGCAGGAACCTGACCAGGGCCCACAACCAAGGTACGTGCCCTTGAACAGAATCGAACCCGGGACCCTTTGGTCTGCAGGCTGACGTTCTATCCACTGAGCCAAACTCTCTAGGGCTATATTCTTACTTTCATGTGGAACCTAAAATACCTAAATCACAGAAACAAAGAGTAGAATGGTGGCTGCCAGGGTCTGGGGGAATGAAAAAATGTTGATCAAAGAGCACAAACATCTCTTTGAGGTGAGAATTAAATGAGATAAATTTGCCATGATATCTGACACATAATAAACCTTTATTAAACAATAAACTATTATTTATAAATAATAGATAATAAATAGCTAATTTTATAATAATATACTTATATAATCTATAATAATAAAAGCATGATATACTAATTAGACCAGACAGCTGAACACACCTTTCAGACGAAGCTGGGGCTGCGAGGGCCGAGGCAAGCCACCGTGGTTGTGAGGGCCAAGCCCCTTGCACGAATTTTGTGCATTGGGCCTCTAGTATTCAAGTAACACAATTCGCTAAATACATTCTGGGGATCTAATGTACAGCAGGTGATTATAGTTAACAATACTGTATTATATACTTGAAAGTTGCTAAGAGAGTAGATCTTAAATGTTATCAGAACACACAAAAAATGTGATGAATGTGTTAGTGTGGTGCTTGAATCTGCTATGCCTCATATTTTTAAAAGAAATCATTTTGAAAATGTTTATACTTATTAGTTAAAAACATACATTCAACCTAAGTCTCATATGTATAATGAATAATGTGGTTGATCACTGTTGCTCCAACATATACAAACCTATATGGGCAAATTCATATATTCAAGGGTGGCAAAAACTCACAGCTCATGTCAACATCCTTGGCCTTCCTGCTAGGATTCCTCCTCAGTTTCATGGAAGGCAAAAGTTATATAAATGATTTTATTTTTTTAAAATATATTTTATTGATTTTTTACAGAGAGGAAGGGAGAGAGATAGAGAGTTAGAAACATCGATGAGAGAGAAACATTGATCAGCCGCCTCCTGCACATCTCCCACTGGGGATGTGCCTGCAACCCAGGTACATGCCCTTGACCGGAATCGAACCTGGGACCCCTCAGTCCGCAGGCTGACGCTCTATCCACCAAGCCAAACCGGTTTTGGCTATAAATGATTTTAAATAGCCAAGACTTCACAGTGTTAATGATAACATGGAGTAACTGGAAATAAATCTTCTATTGTTGGCTTAGTTAGGCTGAGTAAATTATGATCATCCCACTCTATGAAATGTTAGGCTGCTATTAATAATAAAAAATATGAAGACTATCAACATAGAAAAATTCCCAGGATAGTATCAAATCAAAGGAATAAAACTGTATAAACAAAAAGGAAGATTATATAAAAATATGGGTACATATAGATAAAATCAGAGAACAGAAATATCAGTTACTAGAGGTCCAGTGTACAACTTTTGTGCACTGGGGGGGGGGGGGGTTCTTCAGCCTGGCCTGCGCCAGGCCTAAGCTGTCAGTTTGACATCCCATGAGGCCTCCTGGACTGTGAGAGGGTGAAGGCCGGGCTGAGGGAGCCCTCCCCGCCCCCAGTGCATGAATTTCATACACTGGGCCTCTAGTATTTTATAAAATAATTAGCTGAACTATATTCCTTTTTCATACTATACCCCATGGAAACTTTTAGGTGTATTTTACCTTTTAAATCTCTCAAGTTTCATTACTCTAAAGCCAACCTAGCCATCAAAAGCCAGAAAATCTTTAGCCTCTGCTTCTAGGATAGGCAAAACAGAAAAGCTCTCTTCCTGTTTAAACTTCTGCCCCTAGATCTGACCTGCTAGTCAGAATGGACAAGAATATTAGACTCAATCAAGTGAGATCTATCTTACTGAACCTCTCTAATCTTTGTGTTCCTTAAGATGTAATTTCTGTATTTATGAAATTCTCCAAGGAGGTAAAATGCTTGAAGATTTCTCAGATCCAGGACTCATCCCCTACCTTCCTATCTCCTCAACCCTGGAGAATACAATGCTTAACATTGGTCTCTACCTTGCCAGGGGCAGGCCAAACCTTGAAGAGGTGATTATATCCCTAAAGATAAAAAGCCTGTGTTCCTTAAGAAGAAAACTACTATGCATTTAATACTTGTGCACCTGACACTGTACCAAGAACTTTATATATGATATATGAAACACCACAGACCCACTGAACCAGTTCCTGGAGTTAGCCAAGGAAATCTGCATTTGTAACATATATACTAAGTGATTGATAAAACACACACAAGTTTGAAAACCAATGGTCTAAGGTCAGTGTCTTTTCAAACTGTGAATGACAATTTATTAGTGGGAAGCATTAGAGTACATTGCATGTAGTTACGTACTTATTCTGCAAAACAGTTATCAGTTATATATCTGTATTATGTACTGGGTCATAATATAAAATTCATTTCTTAACTGTGAGTCACAGCCAAAAGGTCTGAAAAGCACAAGCTAGGCATTGTGGACTTAGACTAATGCAAATTGGGGTAGAATAGAAACCAAAAAAGAAAAAGAAAACAGCATAACATACATAATTTAAGCTCCATAAGTATCATGCAAAATGAAACTGAAGAAACTTAAATTCTGATCATCTATAGGAATAAGGGACAACAAACAAACAAAGGAGGAAAGCTTGCAGTGTCTCTCAACCTTCCTAATGCCACAACCCTTTAATACAGTTCCTCATGTTGTGGTGACCCCCCCACCATAAAATTATTTTCGTTGCTACTTCATAACTGTAATTTTGCTACTGTTATGAATCGTAATGTAAATATCTGATATGCAGGATGTATTTTCATTGTTCGCGACCCACAGGTTGAGAACCACTGGAAGGGGTATTATGGAAAATCCAATAACTTAACTTTGGCAAATAACAAATATTCTACCTCCGTTTGTTGTTTGCTGCTGCTGTTGTTTACGGTGGTAATAACAAGTAGAATAGGCAAATTACTTAAACTTCACTATCCCCCTCGCCAGATAGAGTGTAAGTTAGAAAAGCAATAGCAGAAAGGAGAGCAGTTTATTTAATTCATTATCTAATTCCAAACCCTGGATAACCAAAAGTAGCCATCTGTTAAAACCTTTCTATCCTTGTTTGCAAAACTCAAATGGATGCACGGTCCCACCAAGGAACACAGCTAATCAGTTCCGAATAATGCAAACATTTACTGAGCCATCTCTTTTTTCTCTTTGTTTAAAACCAAACCACGGAATCTGTGGGAATCTAGGGTCACAACCTGTACCTCTAAGTGAAGTGAAGACTCAAATTGTCAAGCCGGCGAGGCACGTGCGTTATCTCAACTGTAATGCTGGGAAAGCTGGGCACCAGGTCCCGCGATGTCCCCGGGAGTGGGAGCCACTGGGAGCTCCAGCTGGTGCCTAACAGGTCCCATGTGGCGGCCGACGGGGTGCTCCCACTTCGGCTGCAGACCCAGAAAACTTGCCCACAACAGCGGGGGTGGGGGTGGGGGGTGGGGGTGGGGGGGAAGCGCGATCCCTCTCTACACACAAGAACGCTGAGCCTAGACGGAACTCAACTCTGCGGTTGGGCAGAGAGGGGGCGTGGGAAGCGCGTATAGGCGGCAGCAAAACCTCCAACCCCCGCACCATTGAGCCCACACTTCCGCTCCTACTGCTCCGGAGTTGTCGGATCTGTAACTCATGCAAGGGAAAAGCTTAAGGAAGAGCGAGCCTGCGGCAGGATGACCAGGACAAACGAAAACCCCCGCAAAGTTGGTGGCTAGCACGGCTGCCGATCACTATCAGGGCCCCATAGCAACTAGGTAACGGACAGAGAGGCGGGCTGGAACCTACTTGGGCCGGAAAGAGCCGGACTGCAAAGTGGACAACTCCCGCTGCGTGAAGCTGACAGGACAGGGGCTAAAACTCCTGGACGTAGTTAAGTGAAAAGGGCAGCCGTTGACCCTGACAGGCGCGCGCTCGGATTGGTTGATTTTGGTATTGTTTCAAAGACGATTCTTCTATGATTGGTCAGGATAGTCAAGCGGGAACCCGGAGGTGAGGGGTGGAAAGGGGGGTGGGACAAAGTTGTTACCTAGGCAACAGAGGTACACAGAGCTCTGGGCTATTTTCGGAGCCTAGCCAGCGACCCGAAAACTGACCCAGGTGAGGAACCCATACCTTACGTGGGGGAAATAAGGGGTCCTCAGATTCCGTAGCTCTCAGAGAAAGTAGGGAGGACTCTAGATACTTACAACGCTGAGAAATAATAATAAAACCCCCCACAAATCGCAGATAGAACAGACCCTAAATTCCCCTGCGCAAGACACTCTAAGCAAGACGCTTTAACAAAACTCAGTTTATCAGGGTGTGTGTTAGAGTTTTATCATACAGAGGATGGATGCTGATCGAATGTCAGAAAGCCAATATGAACTAGTGTAGGTTGCCTAATGGCTTTCACTCCACTCTCACACTCTATTGATTGTTAACACGAATTTGAGAGTGAAAACTACCTTTCCTTGTGGGTACATTTGGGTGTTCTAAGTGAAAGTAGCCGCTGTGCCTTGTTTTACACGGATAAACATGATTTATCCTGGACCAGCACGCTTTGGTTGGGATATATTTTTTAGGGGGTATAACGCTGTTCAGACCGAAAAAATTGGCCCATGTCGGCACCCTTGTTACTTGGACAATGTCCTGTGCGCCAGAACGTGAACGCCGTGGGCCTGAGGCTTCCAACGGACCTTGGTCAGATAAGATCCTTTGAAGAGTGAGAAACAGTCAGTCCACACTTAGTGGACTGGAGCGTAGCGTACAAAGACAACTTGTACCTGCCAAACCTGCTACTCAACAAGGGGTAATTGGGAAAGTACGTCGCTGTCATCAGGTGAGAAACCTTATAAAAAATGAAATTTGAGTGAGGGGACAGAACTGAATTTGACCAGAGGTAAGGGTCATTTCTCCTACGAGTTTTCTGTTGTGGAAAGGATTCAGGACAGAGACTTTTCCCTAAACAAATGAAGAAAACAGGCCTCTTGAGGGAAAATTTTCGAAGTACCGAAGGTAAATTTTCTGTCTCAATTCTTTTTTAGATTGAGTATGAGAATGAGACAGAAAAACAGGAAAACATTACTGACAACTGTGTTAAGTTTGGCTAAGATAAAGAATAAATAGAGGAAATATTTGTTTACTTTTAGGTTTATGAAAAATTCCAGATAATTTCAAAAATCATCTTTCATTAAATATATTTTAAATTTGTAATGAAACTCTGTTAAATTCCCATAGTTCTTTATGACTTGGTACATCATTGGATGGCAATGAAAGTTAGACACCTAAAAAAAGAAATCGTTCTTGGTTTTGTAAAAATAAAGTCAAAATGAATTATTTTTAATGAGCATGGAATCATTGATGTGTATAGTTGTCAAGATTTTAAAAAGGGGAAAACAATTAGCCCATATATTATAATTTAATTCAGACATAGGCAGAGATTATGTTTACTTTTGCATTTTCAGAAGAATTTTAACACAGGTATTGCTAAATAAGGCATTATGGAAATAAAGTTGCAAAATTTACTTAGGAGAATAAATGGATTTCGACTACTTTGAAATCATTCAGCTATAAGTAATATTTTATGAAGGGGTATGGGTTTACCTATTAAACAAGTTCCCAAAGAATACTATTTGGTGATTCTTTATTATTCTGATTTTATTTACTATATATTGTTAAATTAATAAAATACTATTACTTTCTGAATAGTCTAAAAATCACAGTTTTCACTAATTTTATCTAGACTTCTCTTCAATTACTTCAAGTCAAAAAGCAACCCCTATTGACAATTTGAACGGAGGCAAATAAAATAGAAAGCAAGACCCCAGCCCTCACAAGCAGGTTATTGATATTGCTTTAATTCCATGGGTCTGGAGCTATCCTGGTTCATGTTGTTTAGTCCTAGGTTTTGGTAATGACATGGTTTTCTCTTCAGTTCATTGTGACTAGTACAAAGAGAGGCCCTCCCCCGCCCCAATTCCACCTCTATCTATGAAGGCCATAAGGGGTTAGGTTGATGTGGGAAAATCAAAGATTTTGTCTGGAATATGCTGCCATGGAATTGGCCTAGCAAAGGAGAGTGAGAGAAATAAAAATAAAGGGCCTAGAAAATTTATTTTATCAATAACCAAATCTTAAATAAAAGATTTAGCAATATATTTTGTTTTCAATGAAACTTCTATTTAAGTTTTTCTTAAATTATTTCTTGGACTATTTCAGTGGCAATGCCAGATTCCCAAACATAAGCATTGTGGCTCTAGAATGCATTTTTATCCCTACACTATAGTACCTGAGTATAGGAAAAAGGAAGGATGTATTTCAAGGTACAAGAGCAGAAGATTATAGGGTATATTTAATAAGCAGTTCAGTTTTTAACAGAATACAGATTGCATGTAAGAGAATTATAGGAGGGAAGGGCAGAAAATTAGGTTGGGGTTATATCCTGAAGGACTTTGATTTCCAGGCTCAAGATGAACTTAATGTGTATCAAATTTACAAATAACAGATAGCCCTACAAATAACACTGCATAGTTAATAAAAAGGCATCTTGCCTTAGGTTTTTCCAATGTTATCTGTTTGCGTCAAATGAACTTTAACATCTTTTTAATAAATGTTAGTAAATTATTCATAATTTGTTAGACTTCTACAAAAGCTGGTACAATCTTTATTTTTTAATTATTTATTGTTTAAAGTATTACATATAGTATTACATATGTATCCTTTTTTCCCCATTGGCCACCCCACCCCCCAGCACATACCCTCACTTCTCTAGTGTCTGTGTCCATTGGTTATACTTACATGCATGCATACAAGTCTTTTGGTTGATCCCTTAGTCCCCACCCCCACCATCCTCTGCCTTCCCTCTGAAGTTTGAAGGTCTGTTGGATGCTTCTCTGTCTCTGGATCTGTTTGTGTTGTTCATTATATTCCACAAATTAGTGAGATCATGTGATATTTATCTTTCTCTGACTGACTTATTTCACTTAGCATAATGTTCCCCAGGTCCAATCCATGCTGTTGAAAATGGTAGGAGTTCCTTCCTTTTTACAGCAGCATAGTATTCCATTGTGTAGATATACCACTGTTTTTTAATCCACTCATCTGTTGATGGGCACTTAGGCTGTTTCCAAATCTTAGCTATGGTAAATTGTGCTGCTATGAACATAGGGGTGCATATATCCTTTCTGATTGGTGTTTCTAGTTTCTTGGGATATATTCCTAGAAGTGGGATTACTGGGTCAAATGGGAGTTCCATTTTTAATTTTTTGAGGAAACTTCATACTGTTATCCACAGTAGCTGCACTGGTCTGCATTCCCACCAACAGTGCACGAAGGTTCCTTTTTCTCCAAATCCTCGCTAGCACTTGTCAGTTCGTTGATTTGTTGATGGTAGCCATTCTGACAGGTGTGAGATAGTATCTCATTGTCGTTTTTGATTTGCATCTCAGATGATTAGTGACTTTGAGCATGTTTTCATATGGTCTTCTGTATGTCCACTTTTGAAAAGTGTCTATTTAGGTCCTTTGCCCATTTTTTGATTGGATTGTTTATTTTCCTTTTGTTAAGATGTATGAGTTCCCTATAAATTTTGGAGATTAAACCCTTGTTGGATGTAACATTGGCAAATGTGTTCTCTTTCTTGTTGTTTTGTTGATGGTCTCTTTTGCTGTGCAGAAGCTTTTTATTTTGATGTAGTCCCATTTGTTTATTTTCTCCTTAGTCCCCATTGCCCTAGGAGCTGTATCAGTAAAGATATTACTCCGACATATGTCTGATATTTTGCTGCCTATGGATTCTCCTAAGATTTTTATGGTTTCCTGCTTTACATTTAAGTCCTTTACGCACTTTGAGTTTATTTTTGTGTATGGTGTAAGTTGGTGGTCCAGTTTCTTTTCTTTTCTTTTTTTTTGCATGTATCTGTCCAATTTTCCCTACACCATTTATTGAAGAGACTGTCTTGATTGCATTGTATGCTCTTGCCTCCTTTGTCAAATATTAATTGAGCATAATGGCTTGGGTTGATTTCTGGGATCTCTGTTCTGTTCCATTGCTTTATATGTCTGTTCTTGTACCAGTATCAGGCAGTTTTGAGAACAGTGGCTTTGTAATATAGCTTGATATCTATTATTATGATCCCTCCAACTTTGTTCTTCTTTCTCAAGATTGCTGCAGCTATTTGGGGTCTTTTTTTGTTCCATATGAATTTTTGGAGAGTTTTTTCCTAGGTCTGTGAAGTATGCCATTGGTATTTTAATGGGGATTGCATTAAATCTATAGATTCTTTGGGTAGTATGGATATTTTAATGATGTTGATTCTACCAAATCCATGAACACGGTATATTCTTCCATTTGTTTATCTTCCTCTATCTCTTTTTTCAATGTTCTGTAGTTTCCCGAGTACATGTCTTTTACCTCCTTAGTTTATTCCTAAGTATCTTAAGTTTTTCTGTGCAATGAAAAATGGGAGTGTTTTTGTTGTTTCTCTTCCTGTAAGTTCATTATTGGTGTATGAAAAAGCCATAGATTTCTGGGTGTTAATTTTGTGTCTTGCTACATTGTCGAATTCATTTATTAAATCTTTTGGTTTTTTGATGGAGTGTTTAGGTTTTCAATGTATAATATCATGTCATCTGTGAATAGTGACAGTTTTACTTCTTTTCCAATTTGGATGTCTTTTATTTCTTGTCTGATGGCTATGGCTAGCACTTCTAGTATTATGTTGAACAGGAGCAGTGAGAGTGGGCATACCTGTCTTGTTCCAGTTATTAGGGGAAATGGTTCTAGTTTTTGCCCATTGAGTATGATGTTGGATGTAGGTTTGGCATGTAGTCTTTATTTCCATTTAATTTAGAATATTTTTTCAAAAATTCACATTATTTTCTCTTTTAATGTCTTGAAGTATTTAGTTATTGACAAAATATTGGTGATTCTTTTGTTTCTCAAAATACAATATCAACAAAATTGTCATGATTTTTTATTTTGTGTTTACAGATTATTATTACAGTTGATTTAATACAATTATTTTTGCTAAAGTGCCAATTATACTTTTACTCCAATTTAGCTTAGTATGAATCTATGCTACTTTATGCCAGCATAACTTGGATTTGAAGAAGTCCAAT